TCATGTTTTTTAAAAGAGTATAAATATTTATGCTTCTTAGCTTATAGGGTTACTATAGGAATCAATTCATCGATATGCATTTATTTACTAAGTATCTATTATGTGCCATGCACTTGCCCAGGTGAATAGGATACAAAGACAAAAATGAAAAAACCTTTGTACTCATGGAACTGATAATCTAACACATTTCTATGTGTATACAAGACACATACAAGCACACATGATAAGAGCACTTTGTAAATCTTCAGCCAGTAAAGAGATTTGAGCTATTATTCTTAATGTTATATCCCACACCCTTATAGATATGTACTTGTTTTCTTTCTCCTCATTGTGAAATATTTGGAAAAACCTGGAAGAGGAGGAATTAAAAGGGTGATGGGAAGTTAAACATGTTAATGCTTCAGGTGCTGAAAGCTGTCATAGCAGCTGTTGTCAACTTTAGGAAAAATGGTTGAATAGTTGCATACACATCATTAAATGCATGAGGATTAGACAAGGTTGCTAAATGGATTTTAAACTCAAACATGCTTGACTATGTCATTCAATAGTCAACAATCTCCTACCTCCTCGCAAAAAACATTATAGCATGAGTTTTCAAAAACACAGGATGGAAGCATGGTATAGAGAAAGGACCCTGAACTTTCAGACCTGACTCTATGACTTTCACCTGTGTGACCTTAGGAAAATCACTTAAATGATCTGAGGCTGTTTTCTTATCTAAAAAATAATGATAATAAGAGCTCCATAGGTCAGAGGTTTGTTGCAAGGTTCAAAATGGTTTAAATGATTCCTACATATAAAGCTTCTATTATATTCTTTGCCAATAATAATAGTGATAATATATTGTAACTTCTGATTTTTGAAAGATTGGAAGAACCATCAGAGGTGCCCATAGCAACCAGTGAGTAGAAGAGACCACAAGAGCTTGGCAGTAATGATAGCCAAGTCCAGTGAGGAGCCATCTCATCTGAGCAAGGAAGTGACTTAGCCCAGAGTTAACTTTCTACCTCCTTCATTATGGCTTCTGGCATATGCCAGGGGAAGGAGAGATAGGTAAGGAAAAAACATTCACTTTTATGGACAGTTGCCTGATGCACGAAGAGGTTAAGTGACTTGCTTAGGGTCACATAGCAATGATGGTCTGGGAGAGACTTGAACCTTGGCCTTCCTGACTCCAAGACCAGTTCTCTATTACACACAGATCTTGCAATAGGGGACATAGCAAGCCAAGAGAGGTTCCAAATATTGGGTCCGATTTACTATAGAGATTCAAATGGAGCTATTTTAGTTTATGATATAACAGATGAAAACATTTCGGATGTTTAAAAAAACTTGGTCAAAGAATTATAGGAAAAGTTGGGAAATTAAATCTGTTTATGAACCTTGTGCCCATTTTACAAATAAGGAAAACAGGATTACCTATTCACTTACTTCCTATGTGACTTTATCAAGTCACTTAAATCCTCTGGTAACATTTCCTCATCTGTAAAATGTGAAGGTTAGACTAGGTGAATTTTTAGCTCTAAATCTTTTACCCTGAACCTTTGCAGTAGATATATAATAACTTCGAATTTATGTCTCCTGACTGTTAATCTATGAAGCTGGACAGCCTCCTTATTCCTTTCTACCAAACCCTATTCTCTGCCTTATAGTGCACTCTTACAACAATTCTAATACAATGTAAGCTCCTTGAGAACAGGGACAGCTGCTGCTGTGGTGGCTGTTGTTATTATTGTCTTGTTTTGTGCTTAGAATGTCCAGAACCTAGAACAGTATCTGGTGATAGTATTTACTGAATGAATGCTTTATGAATGAATGAATATTGCCTTTTCCATGAACACCGACAACAAAGGGAAGACACAATCAGGTGATGCATCTCCCGAGGGAGCCCTCTGGGTGAGACTCAAAACTCTTCTTTCCTCCTCCAAACAGTTTTGCTGAAGCCTATCCTACTTTTAATCTTTCCCTACTCATCCTGCCGGGCTACTGTGTAAGTGTAAGTGAGAGACATGGAAAGATTGGTCATATGGGGAGTGTGGAGAGAGACAGGACAGCAAATGGTGCTGAAAGCATCACCAGGCTGTAATGGATATACAAATGCCTGCCTCTTTGACTGCCTTATTATTAAACTTTAAGTTCCTTGAGAACAAGGCTATCTCTGATCACTACTTTGTAACCTTCAGAGTCAAGTACAAGGGCTGTGTACCATGTAGGCACTTAATAAATCACTGGCTGATAAATATAGTTCCTTTTGAGACATTCCAGCATGCCAAACATGCACTCATTAATCCTCCTAGAAACTCTGAAGGCCAGTGGGAAAATGATGCTCCTATTTGACAGGGAGTGAGAATCCTAAAGCAAAGAAATTCTTTAACTAAGGTTTCAAGGGTGCTCCCCTGGTAGATCAGAGAAGGCAGACCCTAGATCTCTGGAGAGGGACTGGCTGAACAAAGGCTTGAAGCACTGGACTTCTGCTTTTCTCTGTGCACTGTTACTTTTAGAGATTTCTTCCATTCAGAATTTCTCTATATCCCTCTTATTCTCATGTTCATTCCTGTATCTTTTCTCTCTCCTTCCTCCTTTATCTCCACTCTGTCTTTCTGTATTTCTCTTCTACTATCTCATTTTCTCCATCTCTTTTACCTCTCTTTCCTCCCTCCCTCTCCTTTTCCCTTTTTCTCTTTCCCCTTTTCCTCTGTGCTTTCCCAGACCTTCTCTAACTAGAACAAACTGTATAGAAACAGATGCAAGGTATGTAAAAAATATTTTTCAGTTGTGCAACAAATCTGCACATTTTGGTAAGTCAAAGACATGATCATTGTTTAGGTGATCCCTAAGAAATCATGGAAGTTAACTAGTGATAGTTAGCAATTTTCCATAGGAAGGATCATTTTGGGAAGGAAGAGAAATATGATTTTGTACCAATAAGAAATAGAAGCAGTGGGAACAGCTCAAGGACAACTGTCTTGACTTCTTTCATTTCTGTTTTCCTATTCAGCTCAGTCCAATTAGCCATGGTTAATAATCACAGTTACAGAAAGTCTTTCAGGACATATTTAGTGTTCCAGGAAAGTGAATGTCTTTTCCTTACTTATCTCTCCTTCCCTGACATCTATGGGGGGCCAGACTGCAGGAGATCAAAAGTTAGCCCTTGAATGAGTTGGAGAAACTTTTCACTTTAATGATAAATCCTTTGTGAGACAATCCTGCCACCAATAGAAAGCGGTTGGATTTTCTGCATGACTATGCAGTTCAGTTCTAAAGGGCCTTTAGGTTTGGATATATTTGGAACGAAAAGACAGAAAATTCAAGGACTTCTGATCCCACACCAAGCTTTTTGCATGTTTATAGTGATATGTATATTTTAAAATTCAAAGTCACCTTCTCCTACTATATTTTTCCACTTACCAAAAATATTTTTTAAATTGTAGTGCACATATACTGCTCACTCAAAAGGATTCACTGGGCATCAATTATGATTCTACATTTTAGCATTTATCTAGAGATAGACATTAATAGCTTCTAAAAACCTTTGAATGCATCAAGTTAAAATACATGCAAAACTCCTCTTTGTTCAGTGCTGACCTATGGATTCAAATGCTTATCTGGAACTAATACATGTTTAAAGAAGCCTGAGGGATAAACAATTCTAAATCTGGGCACTTAGGTCATCTGAACAAAATGGATACAAGTCAGAATGATTAACAAATTTCAAGAGAAAAGATTTGTTCATTTCAATGAGAGATTTACTGTACTTTTCTCTTGAATCCCCCCTTCCACCCCTCCCACAACTGAACAAATGCAGCATAAACATACCAAAATGTTCAAGGCTAAAAATCACTTCAAGTCTACGTGTACTCGTACACAACGAGCCCAACAAAATCTGTTTCACAATGAATAAAATCTAGGTGGTAATGATCAATTGACAGTCATTGCAGAAAATTCAGCCCATAAGCAAGAGTCAATGTGATCAATTTGCCATGAGAAAGCACTGACCTAATGCTTTCCCAACACCCTGTAGGCAAATATCCCATTTCCTTCATTTGATGAAAATGGGAAACTTTCCTGGCTTCCTACTTCTTCCACGCAAGAAAGTTGGAGAAAAATTGGCCCATTTGATAATGGTATTTTTTCTCAGTTAATAGCCCATTTGTGTCTATTTTATTATTTACAATTTCCTGAATCTTATTTGTGAAGAGAATGATGAATTGATTTAAGCAAATTCACAACTTTATTTCCTAGTGTTTGTTGGGGGGAGGCTACATAGGTTCCTATGTAATACAGTTTCATGAAGAAGAATAGAATAAAATTCGTAGACAAAGTAATTGTACAGATATTTTCAAGTAGTGCACCATAGGTGCTGTCACAATTCATTGATACACCTAAAAAGTCAAACTTCTATTTATAACTAATATCATTATATTAGTCAGATTTGAATAAGTTAGACTTCATAGGAATGTTCCTATTTTTCATTGTACTTAATTCCATTATATCAAATATTTGCTTGAAATAAGTTGGTTCTGTGCTCAGCACTGTGCTGAGCTCAAGGGATACAAAAAAAGATAAAAGATAGTCCTTGCTCTCAAGGAGCTCACAATCTGATGGAAAAGACAACTTGCAAATAACTGCATACAAGCAAGCTATAGATGGGATAAATTGGTGATAATCAGCAGAGGGAAGACACAATAATTAAGAACATTGTAAGTAACATGAATCTGCATCTGTAAGACACAAAACATTTAACTAGGGGTAGGCAGATATTTTATCAAAAATTAGATTTTAAAATGTTATTATGTATGTTAAAGTATGTGAAGAAGTTGCATACTCTATATAAAATGTCAAAAATAATTTAATATTTATTTGCATATGCCCTTCATTTAGGCTTAGTTATTATATTATAGGATAATATTCTGGTAAGAATAACCCTAAGAGAATACAACTTAAAAAAAAGAAACCTCAAAGTAAAGTAATTTCCATGAAGAGAAAAACAATTTACTTACCCGGATCTTCTATAGTTAAGTTCTTTGTTAACCATTGCACAATGTCTGACCCTAAAATAAAATGTAAACAAATAAGAACATTTGTGCTTATTTCAAGAACTCAAAACTTTCAAACAATCATGGCTAGTGACTTGTTTTTATTGTTTTGGTTTGGCTTTAAAAAAAAACAAATCAATAGTGGTGCCATTTATAGAACTAGAAAAACAAAGTGGAATGTATTTGGAGACAATGATGATAAATTTGGTTTTAATTCAGTTTTCTATTCTAAATCAGTCCAACAAGCATTTATTAAATAACTATTTTGTGCAAGGCAATGTGCTAGTTTTCAGAATAATTCATTTTTGAATAAGAGAGAAAATAGATGATATTTGCAGAACTATGACTATTAAGTATTATTGTGATCTTGGGAATAGAATTCTGTTGCAGAACTAAGTTCCATTCCAACTTCTGCCAGAGGCTTGGTCTGTGATCTTGGTCATATTTCTGACCTCATTTACTCTTCTGCACAACTGAAAAACAGTAAAAGTCACCAGTAATATAGTTCAGAGACATCTGAAATTATTAAAATAGCAGTGTTCATAAAATAATTCCAGGTACATTAATGCAAAAAGTGCTACAGTAATATCCTACTAAGAACAACCCTAAAGTCAGGTTCCATTTCTCTGGCCCACCCCAAGAGACTGACCCCATTAAAGGTTTTTGTTCTTCACTTGGTTTGTTAAATATCGTGCAGCCTTGTTAAGAACAGTAGAGACCAATTTATAAGGGCTATGTATCTAACATTAAAAAAATTGAGGTATCTAATTGCTACCCTTAGCTACTTCTGCAACATAAAAAGAAATAAGAAAAGGAAATTTTGAAACCTTGAGAGATTTTTTTTTTAATTTAAACTTTTAAACCATTTCACATTCAAAGTCAGTGTGGCAAAGTAGAAAGAATACTGCAGTTGGAGTCAAGAAGTCTCTGCTGTTTTACTTTGTGGAAGTCACTTAGGCTTTCTGTTCCTCGTTTTCCTAATCTATAAAGAGGTTGGTCTTGATGGCCTTGTGTTCTCTTCTAACATTAAAGCCCATGATTCTATTAGCCTAAATCATTCTCCTTTTAGATGGTCTACTCCACAAGTCTCTTGAACAACAGGAATCAAGGATTTGGATCCTTAGTCTCAATCTCTAATCAATTATATTTTACTTTTATCACCTTGTACTAGGGCTCTGCTCCTCTAGAAAGATTAGTTATTCTTCCTTCCTTCCCTTCCCTTCTTCTCCTTCCCCTTCCTTTCTTCCCCTTTGCACCCCTCCCCTATCCCCAGCCTCAGGAAAAAAAAAAATTCTTGTACTTATCTGAGAATTTTCATTTCAAACAAGACTATACATTAGGTTAGGGGATTGTTGGGAAGGAAAGAGTTTGCTCCTTTTCCTATCTCAATTCCAAGATTTTTCTAGGACATCTAGGTGATGCAGGTCTGGAGTCAGAAAGATTTGAGGTCAAATTTGACCTCAGATACCCAATACCTGTGTGAACCTGGGCAAGTCACTTAACTTCTATTGCAATCATGTTACAAATAGAAGATAGTTTCATGAGCAGCAAATATACATACAAAAAAAATTAAAATCAGTCACTACAGAGACTGAGGACCATCACAGGTTCCGGTAGAATTGTGTGAATCTGTTCAGTTTCCCCAATTATAAAACAGAGATAATAATAGCATCTACCTCATAGGGTTATCGTGAGGATAAAATGAGATAATATTTGTGAAGCTCTTAGCACGGTGCATGGCTCACAGTAGGCACTTAATCAATGTTTGTTCCCTTTCCCCCTTTTCCTCTGAATCTTTGGATTCTTGTTCTAAATACAGATGTACTCTCTCCTCAACTCCCACCCTTTCAACTGGCTGGCAAGCAAAGTAGTGGTTTCTCTGTTGGCTTGATAGCACCACCTCTGAACAGATTCATGCAATTCTACCTGACCCTATGATGGTCCTCAGTCTCTGTAGTGACTGCTTTTAATCTTTTTTTGTATGAATATTTGCTGCTCATGAAACTATCTTCTAGAAGTAACTGTTGCCTGCACCATTATTTTACCTAAAGTTGTATTTTTGAAGATGTTATTATTGCCATTAGATGGAATATAGCTGTGTCTTAATTTCAAAGGAAACTACATTTTTTTCGAATTTGGCAATCATTTCCTAAATACTATGAAAAATTTAATATCCCATATTGAGTTTAATCTTGAGGAGCTTTAAATAAAGCTTTCCATGTGGCTGATCAGCCAATTTTGTCTTTACCAGACTGCTCCCTTTAAAGCTGTCTCTGAATCAAATGCAATTGAGAAGATGGATTTATCCAGACCCTGAAGGAAGTTTTAATGTAACCAGCCATGAGACTTCAAAACTCCAGCTCTGTAGGAAGGGAGTGAAATCACACACAAAAGCACAATTATTATAAAGCGTGTTCAGCCGTATGCCTTCAATTACCCTGTATAGGCATCTGTACTTCCTGAGGCATGACGTTGCCTTTTAAAAAACATATTTTAAATATTTGGAGCTCTGCTTTTCAAACAAATGAGTAGTGATGCCTGACCCATGTAGGCTTCCATGTGCCCAAATATTTAGTCCCAACTTCTTCCTCATCTTAAAAAAAGGACCCGTTTTAGGTTAAGGGATTCTTTAGGGACTGTTTGTAGGCAGCCATGGAAATTCTCCATGCAGATGGAAAGATCCAAACACTTGTGCCAGTACTATAAATATTTCAAGTTGTGAAACATGCTAACAAATGGCCTCTGGAGAATTAAGGAGGGTTTTTTAACATCAATAAACACTAAAAGTGAAGTTTTCAAAAGATTTTTTTTAATATGAAAGACAGCAACTTTTCTTACTATGCTTTTAGTTATTTCTGAAATTTGTTCATCTTCAATTTAATTTTTTTTTGGCAATTGGGGTTAAGTGACTTGCCCAAGGTCACACAGCTAGTAAGTGTCAAATGTTTGATCTGAAGCCAGATTTGAACTCAGGTCCTCCTGACTTCATGGTCGGTGCTCTATCTATTGTGCCACCTAGCTGCCCCATTTTGTTTTGTTTTGTTTTGATCCTCAATTTAGTTTTAAAAGAGCCAGTTTAAAATTTCATGCCCTTCTATAGGATTTGGTATCAGAAATAGACATCTGGTTATTTTATGATAACATCAATATATTTCAGGTTGTTTCAGAGGAAATCCTATGCATTTAATTGGCACACTATACATTATTCTTTCATTGTCAAAGCCTTTCTGGCAATTCACCCATTTTGCACCTGCAAAAGGAAGAATGAGTATAAGATGAGGAAGGCATGTATATATCAACAGAGATTCAAAAACATCGAAAGTGGTATGTAGGTGTGTGTGTGTGTGTGTGTATGCGTGTGTGTGTGTGTGTGTGTGCATGTGGACTACAAGATCAAAATAGGTCAACAATGTGACACAGCATCAAAAAAAAAAAAGCCAGTGCAGGCTTATGATGAATGTGATACTTGATTAATACTGCTCTCTCCCAGGTTACAATATTTTATTTGCTATATCTGATGGCCTTTGCTCTGTCTTCATTCTTCTTGATATCTTTCTTGCGATAGAGCACCCTATTCTCCTGGAGGCTCTCTCCTGAGGTTAGCATAGCACTGTTCTTTCTTGGTTCTACTATCTGTCCTCTCCTTCTCAATCTCCTTCAAATCTATATATTGCTTCTTAATTGTATGTCTCTTCTACCCCCAAGGCTATGTCAGTGGTCCATTTCTTTTCTCTCTCGGTGATCTCATCAGCTCCTATGGTTTCAATTATCTCTGTACAGATGATACCTGCATGTATTTATCATGCCCAGGTCTCTCTCTAAAATTTCAGTCCCACTTCACTAGCTCTGTACTGAACATCCCCAAATGGATATCTCACAGGCATCTCAAACTCAATAGGTACAAAATAAAACTCATTACCTTCTCTCCCAATTACTCTCTTCTTCCAAATTTCCCTATTTCTTTTCAAGGCACACATTATTCATTCAGTCACCTAGGTTCATAACCTCTGAGTCACATTTAATTTTCTCACTACCTCAACGATCATTTCCAATCAACTACCATTTTATTGATTTGAGTTCCGTATCTCACTATTGTCCCTTACCACCAACTCAGATGGCCATCAACTTAGCCCCTCATTGCCTACTTAGTCAACTAGATGGACCTGGATTCCAGAAGTACTGAGTATCCTGAGTACAAATTCAGCCTCAGAAACTTACTAGTTGTATAACCTTAGGCAAATCACAAAAACATAATCTGCCTCAGTTTTCTCATCTGTAAAATGGGGGTAATAATATCACTTACTCCCTAGGGATGTTGTTAGGATAAAATGAGATAATATTAGTAAAACATTTCATAAATTCTAGTTATGATTCTCATCCTCATTCTCATCATTACCTCTAACCTAGAGAATTGGGCATCCAGCTTTTAATATCTCCCCTTTCCTATCCATCCTCCAACCAAATTCCAAAACAATTTTCTTACAACACAAATATGACCATGATACCTTCTCCAAACCTCCACTTGCTATTTATCACCTCTGGGATGAAATAGAAACTTCTCAACCTGACATTTCAAGTGCCTCATAAGCTGGTTCTACCCCTCTTTGTAGACTTATTTCATATTGTTTTCCTTCATTCATTCTCCATTCCAACCAAAGTGGTCTCCTTGCTCTCTACGTTTCATATTCCACTTCTCTGTCTTTGCACACAGGCTGTCATCAATTCCTGGAATACATTCTCTCTTTACCTCAGCCCCTTAGCATTTCTAGACTCCTTGAAGACTTGGCTTATGGGTCACCTCCTAGGGGAAACCTTGTCTGATCTAGTTTGTATTCTCTACCTTCCCAAATTATCACATGTATCTTATTTGCTTACATGATATCTTCCCAGTAGAATGTAATTTCTGAAAATACCATTTTTTCATTCTGTCTTGGTATTCCCAGTGCCTAGCAGAGTGTTTTTTATGTGGTAAGTGCTTTTAAGATGTTTATTGAATAGGATTGTTTGAAAGTGTT